CATGGCACTCCATTTATATCCCACTTTTGCTCCATCTTGTAACCCAAGATGGAAAACGCAGGACAATTAGCCATGGCTCATGTTTCTGTTGGTTTAGCAAGGTGACAGAATCACGTTCCCACAGATGGTGACCTGGAAATCTTTCTTATATTACCCTTACATGACATCAGCATCAGAGCAGGAAATAATTTGAATTGCTTACTTTCGTTCACATGGGATGTATGTGCCATTTGCCTTTCGGCAGTGGCCGTAATAAACCCCATTCCGGTTGATCGTAAAACACGAATCTGCAGCCACTTTTGCACCTGTAATAGGGAGGGGGGAACCAAGACAAACACCTGAGTTTGTAACAAGCCAGCAGGATAAAGAATGGCTGAAGATATCTCAAAGGACTTAGGAATATGTGTAGTTAATATTCACTTCTTAAAATTGGTATTTGTAACCAGTTATTTATCTAATCCTCATTATGCATAAGGCATTCAATAGCCCAAACAGTGTTGCAATAAAGTTGCTTATTCCACTTTTATGGACACAAGGCTGAAGGCACTGTTATGCAACTTGCACAAGACTACTTGGTAAATCAATGGCTGTAGTAGAATTTGAATTCAAATCCCAAATTCATTCCTCTATGTCATCATTCTCCAACCTGGTTATCCTCCAGATATGTGTCCAGTTCCCAGAATTCTTCAGGCAGAGTAGCCCTTACCAAGAACTCTAGGAATTGAAGTCTACACACTAGGAAATGCCCAAGTTGCAGAAAGCTGATGTATACATTGGTTCATAAAAGTTCAGATGAGTAAAGAAACTTTAATGGTATCTAGACACTTTCCTGGGCATAGGCCTCTTTGAATACAGCTGGATTTTTCTACCAAGAAACTTGCAAAAGACTGAGCAATTTCATTCTTTGGAGTTTTACACCGTTTTATGCTGTTTACTGATATATCTATATCTATATAGATAGATAGATATATACACACATACACACATACACACACACACATGCATGCATACATACATGCATACATACATACACACACATATACATACACACACATATACACACACACACACAAATATACTGACCCAGATCTTTGTCCATCCACAACCCACTACATTATTCCATCTCTAATTATTCCATCTCTAATAGAACAGAAATGGAATGATGATTTACTATGGGTAGAAAGGAGGACGTATCTTTGATCAGTGAGAATGACTTAATCCTTTTCAATGCCGCTCTTCTGAAATCCTAAGATTGACTTACCTGGCCCCCAGAGAGCAGTACATTGGTTTGCCAAGGTGGGGCACTTCCCCATGTAGCAGTAGCCCATGTTGTTTTGGCATGGGTGCCCATTCATGCGGAAGCGATCCATGGGACATTGAGGAGACTGGCCAGTGCACAATTCAGGCAAGTCACAGTCGTGCTTTGCAGCCCGGCATACCGCTCCTGCTCGCCTAAGCTGTGGGTGGAAACAAAAAATCCTCCCAGTTATCACTCTTTAACAGTGGAGATCAAAGAGCCACAGCCATGATTTTCAATACATTTCAAGCCTCCTCTTCATCTGTCATGAGGGTTACCAAGCAAGGCATCCCTGCCATGCTACAAATTGGCTCCAGGTCTTAAGATATTGTGTGTAGTGCTTAGAAGTCCCATCTATCTTACTTGCTATGAGAAAATGATTGGCACGAAAGGCTATATTCCTGAAACAGAAGCTCTACATGTTACAAAAAATATATACTTGCTATAATATGCCACAATATGCCATAATTATAACATTGACTTCTGCTGGAGGTTGATGACCTCAATAGCAGGGCTGGCCTGACCATGAAGTAGAGGGAGGAAGCTGTCAATGAAAGTCATTTTGACTGTCATGAAAAAGCAGCAAAAAGTTAATTGCTGAACTTCTGCATGATATATTTTTATTTCCTTGAAGTGTTCATGGGGCACCAGCCTCAACCATTTTGCTAAATTATATATATAAACTGGGTTTCCACGCAAACTCAGTCACAGAAGGTTAGATATTATCTTCACAGAAATCAATCAACATGCCAAAGGAATGTATTTTAGATTGAGACAATGCAGTGCTGAAGTTTTGCTAAAATGTGCTCCACATGGACATGTTCATAAGGGTCAGATAAACTGGAAGAAGGGATAAGAATAGGGTTAACATGTTTTTGATCACAGCAAGCACCGAGATATTACGTTTTCATTTGGCTAGTAAAGGGCAGGGTAAAATCTCTCCTACTTTTAACATTAAACAAGACTTACCTGGCAATTCTTACAACACTGGCCATATCCACACTTTGCACCAGGTTTCAGCTTACAAGTTGCAGCTTCACAGCA